TAACTGCTGTTTCTCTCTCTGTGTGAGTCTCTACAGATTGAAATTAATGTTACTTAGTTTGTATTGGACAATCTATTAAAATCGTTTTGATCTTACTCTATCAACCTGAGCTTATGAGATAAAAAGTTGCACAAAGACTTGAGCCTCAGACCAGAAGTCCAAGACAAGTCTCAAGTCTTTAAGGCACAAATCTAGGTCATGTCTTTTTTTTTGTGTGACCATAGACTTAAGAGTCTCAAACCTGAATCTCCATCTTTGGTTTATATCAAACAAAAACAACTGCGAATGCTAACCTCTTAATCATTTTAAAACTATTATTATGTTTTGTTTTGTTTTTTTAGCTAATTTTGGGATAAAGATTCTAGACACAAGCTCAAACATCTTTCTATGCCAACTTACATTTTTCTTTATTTATTTACTGGTGCTCTCTCAACGAAAGACATATGTGAACAATTAATCACTTCAACTGGAATATGGCTATTGCAATACCTGGAAAATGTGGGAGGACATTAAACTGACTTAGTTCCGCATTCATTTAATGGCATGAGCTGAGTAAATTCCTGACATACAACCTTAAAATTACATTTAGCACATCAAAACAGAGATTTACTGTTTTGTTTATTTCATGCAGTGTAATCTGTTTCTATAATTGGCTAGCTGACCTTTTCTTCTAAATTTTAAACCTTAATGAACAGTTTTTTTCTCTAATGCCACATATCCATAAATGTGTTTCAAAGTATATTTTTTTAACGCTTCACGTTTTCCTGACCTGTCTTAACCACTGCAGTTGTTTCCTAGGTTTTGAATGGCAAAGCACAAGTGGAGTGTTTTGTAAGTTAACATTATATCACTTGTGTGAAGGGAATGCATCAACTCTAATACACATCATGTAATATAATCCAAAAGTCAAAATAGTGATGTGTAAAATCGATATAAAACAAATGAAATATTCTACATTGTAGATTTGTCACTGCAAAACCACAGAAAGTATATCACACATAAAATTAATCAATAAAAATCTAAGCTGAGTTGCTCCTCCAAATTTTGACAAAAAAACTAGACCTTTGTATGTAGAACCAAAACATGTTCTGGTTTTCTGAAAGGCACTAGTTTATTTGCTGCAAATTTTATTTGTACTCATGCACATATTTGCTTGTAGAACTAGTTAGCATCTAATGTGGCCAAATGCAAAACAGATGCCAGTCACACATACCTTTTCACTTTAAACCCATAAATAAGGAAAGATGTTCCACAGTATTTCACAGTATTGAGGTTCTTGGTGTAGAAAAACTTTAAGAGGAGCATTTGTGGCACTATGAAAGTGAGTCACGAAACTAGTAGACCCCCCAATTTTGTTTTTGTGATGATCAGTCTCAGCCAGAAACTAGCATTAAAATTTATTAGATGTAACAATGTTTGTATTTCACCATCGGAGGGCGCTGTGTGCGGCAGCGGGTGACGCTCTGGCGGGCGGAAGAAGATCATCAGTGCTTAGAGGACAGCTTGTTGCAGCAGATGCTCGGAGCAGATTTGTAACCGCTGTATTTTCTTGTTGCAGTTTAAACTAAATAAATGTGCTACCAGAGGAGTGACCCGGCCCATCATTCTCTTCAGTGTAACACATTAAATAATCTGAAAAAGGAAAACACCCCAAGCCAACACACTTTTTAAAAAACAAAAAAACTGGCACAATTATCAGAAATGTTCAATGTTTCATTTATCAACTCAGTCAAAAGACAGAGCGATTTAAAGTGCTTACTTGCAACCAGATGTCAGACTTTGGTTGGAAGCACCTGTACAAGAAACCTCAATAGACTTTCTAATCTTAAGATTAGTGGTTTGCAAATTATTTTTAACATTAGGTCAGTATCATTCAAGCATCATCTCAGCTGCATTGTCCAGTCGATTAGTTTGTGTATAAATGTAATGAAAGTCTCTGTTTGGCATAATGCAGCAAGGTTTAGAAAATCTTGAAGAAAATATTCCTTTCTCTCCATTTATACATTGCAAACTGATTTAGCCACAAAAATACTGCAGTAGTCAATAAACTATAAGCATCTGCACGTTTTTAAGGAGAAACTACTGTGGCGCATACAAATGTATTGATTTATACAAAATCAATATTACATACAGCCCATTTTGCATCAGCTATAGCAGGGAGTCTCTTGGGATACAGTATGTCTCCATAAGCTTGTCAAATTCATCCTCTGGGATTTATGCCCATTGCTTAAGGCAAAACTGCCCTCACTCACTTCAAGACGCTCTGCAGGTTCTTCTGGTATGTAACAGATTTAAACACTGTTTAAAAACAGTCTCTGAATATTTACATTACTCTGCTGGATTTAATGGCTTGTTTCTTTGGTAGTGTTTTTAATGATGAAATCATTTGTTGTTACTCCAGTCAACTGTTCTTTCCATGTTGACCGACTACACAGGGATAACTGCAGCACCATGATGCTTCATGTTTGTTAGATGTTAATTTATTCCTTTATGACCCAAAAGGTCAGTAAGTTGGCCATGTGAGAATAGGAACTTCTTCTTCATATAGGGAGTCCTTAGAGACTTCTGATGACCTCTATTTTGTAACCTTCTACTTTATTTTTTTTGGCCTTTTCCATAACTAGGAAACATAGAAGATCTTTATAGAAGTGCTTCTGGATGGTGTGTAAAACCAACTACTAACTTTATGAAGCTAAAGAGAAACATGTCAAACATGTTGACTATATTTTCAATGCATTGCTTGAATGTCAGTAATCTCTGACTCAAACACAGAAACAATGCATAAATATATGATTGAATGAATAATTTCCATAGGATTCTGTCTATCTAGGTCAGTTTACATCATGATGTGATGTGTGTTCACATTTGTTTCTGTGTAAGCATATGTATACGATATCTGCACACAGTACAGCTAATACAGATATACTGAAGCATATTAAACATAAGACACCACAGTCAATAACAGGAATGTAAGAGCCAGACTTTTTTTAATAGATAAAATGCAAACATATTTTGTCTCCTTGTTTCAAGATGCAGAGGACCAACATGAACCTGGAGTTATTAATAAAACTGTTTCAGACGTGCTCCTTGTTGCCTTGTTTTAAAGCTTAAAGCTCAAACACTTAGCGGAAGTGTATTTCTTTATGTTAGACAGGTTTTTCCATCCCTTCTCAAACCTACACTTCTCTAACACACTTTCTTAGACACACACATACACCCACATAGGGTCTTGGCATACATAGCAGCAGCTATTTTTCTTGTTAATGTAGCATGTCGAATTTGTAGGGTGGTGGCGTGCAAATGAAAGGTTGCACGTCTCACTCGCTNTGTATTTTCTTGTTGCAGTTTAAACTAAATAAATGTGCTACCAGAGGAGTGACCCGGCCCATCATTCTCTTCAGTGTAACATATTTTGGCGAGCCAGCCAGGAGGTGGCGCTAGTGAATTAACACCATCACCAACCACCTTCCTTCCCAAGAGACGAACTAGAAAGAAAAAAAGATGGAAGCAGCACAGCTTCTGCGCGATCGAGTGAGTGCAACCTTGTGGCAGTTGGAAAGAGAGCATCTCGTGGACGTCTGCAGGCGACTGAAGTGTTCCGGCCTGGACAGCGGAGAGCCTCAAAGTAAAACCAAAAGGACACTCATCAGGTTGGCAGAGGACATGTTTGATGAGATAGAGAAAAGTGAAGAAGAGGATCAAGTGGAACAGTTTTATAAAGAAACAGCCACATATATCCAGAGACTAAGTAAAGTAATGTGTCAGTCAGAAGAGGAATCCTCATTTAAAAAGTCTGTGCCACAGATAGACCTTGAGGACACTATTCCATGCACCACTTCAGTCCAGGCAACAGATTATCCACTCAAAACCCGACCAGAGCCAAAACAAACTCTGCAGGAGGTAACATTGAGGAGGGAGTTTAAAATCTCTGGGCAGATTGGAGAGAGTGGGCAGAAGGATAAGCTGTCCTACCTCAGTTTAGTACGCCAGATCGAAAATGGGATTGAAAAAGGACACTCAGAGGTTGAAGTAGTTGAAGCAGTAATTAGGGCCATCAGTCCAGGAATGCCCCTAAGAGACATGTTGGAGATAAAACGTGGGTTAACCCTTAGCAAACTGCTCACCATACTAAAGGGACACTACAGGGTCGATAGCCCCACTGAACTTTACCATCAGCTTCTCAATATCTCCCAAGAACCCAAAGAAACTGCCCTAAATTTTGTATTTCGTGCTATCGAGCTCAAAGAAAAACTTCTATGGAAAGCAGCAAATGAGGAGACCGATGAACTGTACAGCAGGACCACAATTCAGCGTAAGTTTCTCCGCTCCATTGAAACTGGGCTACTCAGTGACTCCATTAAGTATCAGTTGCTGCCTCTCCTAAGTAATATGACCATAACAGATGAAGAACTGATTGAGAAAGTTAACGAAGCTTCAAAGCTAGAAAATGAAAGATTGGAGAAACGAAGAAGGTCCACTGCAGTCAAGATTCCCAAGGTACAAGAGCTCCAAACAGCGTGCCAGACAGCCCTGACACCTGTTCAAAGCCACCCGAAACCCAAAGAATCCCCCATTACAGTGGCTGTGAAAACAGTTAAAAATAAAGAGACTAAAACAGACCCACAGCAGATCATAGAAGAACTTCGCAAAGAAATGAAAGAGATGTTTGTGGCTGCTATGGAAACCAGTCCCCACACCATGGCACCAAAACAAAGACAAAAAGGCTGTAA